TTGGGATGCTCTCAAAGAAATCCAAGGAGAAGAAACCTTGCATCTTGGAAGCAGTGCATTTGGATCATCCTCCTCTCCTAAAACGCCTGGTCTAGGGGATGCTGGGAACTGTAGTCAGGAAGACAGTGTGGATATGCTATTGTGTGTGGTTTTTTGGCCAGGGGAGTCGTTTTTGCACATGCGCTGTGGAGTCCCTTTCACTATGTTTTTCAGTGTTTTTATGAGTGATGGTCACTTGTTGGCCTGGTAGGTGTGTTGTATCCAAATTTGGTGTCACTTCGTCCAGTGGTTTTTGAGTTGTGTTAATCCCACAAACTAACATTACATTTTTATTTATATAGATTACAGATTTAAGTACACCTCAAGCCGCCATCTTGACACCCCTAGCTTAGAGAAGACAATGATGCTGGGGAAAATGGAGGAAAAAGGAAGAGGGGCCAACCAAGGGCAAGATGGATGGATGGAATCCTTGAAGTGACTGGCTTGACTCTGAAGGAGCTGGGGGTGACCACAGCCAACAGGGAGTTCTGGCATCGGCTGGTCCATGAGGTCATGAAGAGTCAGAAGTGACTGAATGAATAGACAACATCAAATTGAAAACAATCACAAAATTAACACAATACAACCAATGCATCAATCGGCAATTATTATATGAAACAATTTAAACAACATTTAATGTTAAGAGAAAAGGTTAGAGTGCTCTAGGTTAGTGTGTTCTAGACAAGAAGGCTCTAGGTTGGAAGGTTCTAAGCTAGAAGAGTCCTTTCCCCAGCTCTTCTTTTCAAACTGCCACACAAAGAATCATCTTTGTTCTAGGTTAGGCTGTTCTAGGCCATGAGGCTGTAGGTTAGGGTGCTCCAGGCCAGAAGGCTCTAGGTTGGAAGGTTCTAAGCTAGAAAGTCCTCTCAGCTCTTCTTTCAGACTGCCACACAAAGAATCTTCTTTGTTCTAGGTTAGGTTTTTCTAGGCCATGAGGCTCTAGGTTAGGGTGCTCCAGACCAGAAGGCTCTAGGTTGGAAGGTTCTAAGCTAGAAGAGTCCTTCCCCAGCTCTTCTTTTCAGACTGCCACACAAAAATCATCTTTGTGCTAGGTTAGGTTGTTCTAGGTCATGAGGCTGGGTAAGGACTCTTCAGAATGCCACACAAAGAATCTTCTTTGTTCTAGGTTAGGTTGTTCTAGGCCATGAGGCTCTAGGTTAGGGTGCTTCAGACCAGAAGGCTCTAGGTTGGAAGGTTCTAAGCTAGAAGAGTCCTTACCCAGCCCTTCTTTTCAGACTGCCACACAAAGAATCATCTTTATTGTAGGTTAGGTTGTCCTAGGCCATGAGGCTCTAGGTTAGGGTGCTCCAGACCAGAAGGCTCTAGGTTGGAAGGTTCTAAGCTAGTAGAGTCCTTACCCAGCCCTTCTTTTCAGACTGCACACAAAGAATCTTCTTTGTTCTAGGTTAGGTTGTTCTAGGTCATGAGGCTCTAGGTTAGGGTGCTCCAGACCAGAAGGCTCTAGGTTGGAAGGTTTCTAAGCCAGGAGGCACTAGACTGGAAGGTTCTAAGCTAGA